TTTCCTCACAATCACTCATTCCTCACAGTCACTCATCACTCGGCACTCGGTACTCGCACACGGCACTCGCACTCAGTAGATACCTGCACTCACTGGGGTATGTACAGACTCCGGAGGGGTTCCTTCAACCCAAGCGCTATATCAAGCCAATCATGGCATATACCAATGAAACATGTTGCGCGCGCGCAGCTCGATCCCATAAATATCCTCACAATTAGGCCCTCGGCCTCACTCAGTCATCAACCTCTCAGTCTCTCGGGCTCAAAATGTCATGAAAATCAGCCCAAAAATGGTTATATGATGTATCAAATGAATGAGCATGACTGAGTGTGAAATTACAATTTGAGCATATAATTCAACCACATAAATGACCCTAGTGGGTACCAATAATAACAGCATATGATTAAGCATGATTTTTAATACGAGTCTTAGCTCAATTTTCTCTAACACTTAGAGGATGTACGGATATCAACAGATAATTCAACTACACAGTTCCATAGAATTTGACCAAGTCACAATTCCTACGGTGCACGCCCACACGCCCGTTACCTAGCATGTGCGTCACCTCAAAACCAATCACATAACACAAAATTTGGGGTTTCATACCATCAGGACCAAATTTAGAACTGTTACTTACTTCAAACCGTGAAATTCTTTATTCTACAATGTCTTTGCCTCGGGAATTGGCCTCCAAACGCCTCGAATCTAGCCACAAATAATTCGATTCAGTCAATAAAATTTATTGGAATTAATTCCATAAGAAAATACTAATTTTCCAACAAAATCGGCCCACGTCTCGGAACCCGACAAAATTTATAAATCCGAAAGCCCATACAACCTCGAGTCTAGCCATACCAATTTTACCAAAATCCGACCTCAACTCGACTTCCAAATCTTTAAATCGTATTTTTAAATCCCCGATTTACACCTCAAAAACATGTAATCTAGTCGGATTATTCGATGATAATTCAATATTATGGAGTAGAAATGATCACAAGTGACTTACCTCAAGATTTTCCGTGAAAAGCTCGCTCAAAAATCGCCTCACCCGCTCTTGGAAATGTCAAAAATGACAAAATTTCTCGGACCCTTCTGTTTTGTACACTGCCCAGTGCTTTTGCACCTGCGGCCATAATTTCTGTATCTGCAGTCCCGCTTCTACAGTGAAAACACCGCATATGCGGAAGCCACTTAGCCCAGCTAACTTCGCTTCTGCGAGACTTGGACCGCATCTGCGCCTTCGTAGGTGCGGAAAATTCCATCGCACATTTACGCCTGCCCGCACCTGCGCAACATGAGCCATATCTGTTGCTAATTTCTCGCAGGTGCGATCACACCAGAAGACAGAAATTTCCCAGATTTCATCTAAGTCCGAATTTGATCCGTTAACCATCTGAAACTCACCCAAGACCCTCGGGACCTTAATCAAATACACCAACATGTCCTAAAACATCATACGAACTTAGTCGAACCTTCAAATCACATCAAACAATACCAAAAACACGAACCACGGATAGATTCAAGCCTAATGAACTTTGAAACTTCCAACTTCTACAAACGATGCCGAAACCTATCAAATCACGTCCGATTAACCTCAAATTTTGCACACAAGTGAGAAATGACGTAACAGACCTATTCAAATTTCCAGAATCGGATTACGACGATATAAAAAGGTTACCCCCCGGTCAAACTCTCAAAAATATTTGGCTTTCGCCATTTCAAACCTAATTCCACTACGGACCTCCAAAATATTTTTCGGACACACTCGTAAGTCCAAAATCACCATACTGAGCTATTGGAATCATCAGAATTCAAATCTAAGGCTGTTTATACATAATCAACATCCGGTTAATTTTTCCAATTTAAGTTTTTAATTATGAGACTTGTGAGCACCTAATATTTGACTATATTTGAATTTTTATCACCTTCTACTATGTAAATATTTTCAGAATTTAATATATATATATTTTTAGCATTGTTACACTTATATATATATATATATATATATATATATATAGAAAAAATTATTAATAATTTAAAAGGTAAATCATTACTATTAGTATTATTTTTATCTTTATTTTTAAATAAAATGAATAAAAAACCGAAAATAAATATAAATTTTTTTAATTATTTTTAAAATAAATTTCGGATGGGAATTAAAAAATAGGAAAAGTAGAAATATAAAATTAAAAAGTAAAGTAAAAGTAGGAGAAATTGTTTAATAAAAAAGTAAAAGAAAGTGAAAAATTAAAAAAAATAAAATNGAAAATTAAAGAAAATAAAAGTAAAAGAATGTGAAAATTTAAAAAATCAAAAGTAAAAGAAAGTTGGAATTAAAAAATAAAAGTAAGAGTAGCTGAATTCTTTTTTAAAAAAAGTAAAATTAAGTGGAAATTAAAAAAAAGGAAAGTAAAATAAGTGGGAAATAAAAAAAGAAAAGTATAAAAGTGGAAATTTAAATATAATAAAAGTAAAAAAAGTAAGAAATTAAAAAATAAAAGTAAAGAAAAATGGGGAATTACTTTTTAAAAAAATAAGAAAAATGGGAAGTGGAAATTCTTTTTAATTAAAAATAAAAAAATAAAAAAAATCTGAAAATTTCGAAATTTTTTTCTATAAATAGAAGAGAAATGTGATGAAAAAAAGGAGAGAGAGAAAGGAAAAATAGGGAGGAAAGAATTGAGAAAATTTTATTTTTCTTCTTCTAGGATAAAGAAATTTCTACTCGTTTCATTCTTTCTTCGGCTTTCTTTCGAAAAATCCAGCAGCTTCATCACCCAAAAACCACCAGCCCTTGACCACTTTTGAGCCATCATTAACCCCCCTCCCAAAAAAAAAAAACAAAAAAAAATAAAAAGCTCAAAAAATAGCCACTAAATCGTTAGTTTTACAAGGTCGGTTGAGGTTGCAAGTTGAGATTTGCCGCTCGAGTTTTTCGTGGTCCGAAGGGTCCAGTTGAGAGTTATCCGATCATTGAGTGGTTGTAATTTAAATCCACAATCATCAATATAAAGGTTCACTTCTCTTTCTATTTTGTTTTTCTCATTAATGTTTTGGGTCACTCTATTTTAATTTAACTTTGAGTATGATATGATCGAGTTCGCATCTGAGTGTGTTAAGATTAATTTGTTCTCATGTTGAGTATTTGTTACGATTAATTTATTTTCCTTTTTAGTAGTTCATATGGTTAATTTTATTGATGAATATGTATTAATTTGTTACTTTTCTTGTTTATTCAATGAAGTAATGACTTTCCATTTTTAGCATGCTTTAGTTTCATTTTGATCTCCTATCTTAGTAACTAAATTGGTCCTGCCTGTATCTATCTATTCCAGCCATAAATTTAGTTTATGTTTCAAATATTGGTTAGCAGTAAAATTATAAGAGATTAGGTTGGGCCATGATTGGTGTAAGACTTTAATTGGACTTCCCTAACGTATTTATGGGCTAATTATTGCACATGACCAAAACAAATAAACATTCACAAGCTAGCCAACTTTTTTCCGTAATTAATTTACTTCATTTCCTCCATAACAATATACATACCTCATGACCTTACAATAATGTCAAAAAAAAAAAATAGTAATTGAATAATATTCGAACATCGTAGCTTGCTTTAGGCGCGATTAATAATAAATCATCGTGACTGTGGGTACGGTTCCCGTGGCATGGTCACGATACGTAATCCTCAATTCGAGTGTGCGTTTTATGTGACTCGACCACGACTTTAAATAATAATAAATAAAATTAAACACGTTGTAGATTGCGGGTGTGTTTCACATGACGCGATTTGCGATGTGTATAAACAACGAGTGTACGACAACGTAACTCGTCTCATATTAATTCCATAAAAGTTTAAAATGTAGTAATTTAATAAAAGCGGTAAAAGGTATAAAAATGCACATATAGGTTTAAAACATGTATTAAATCAGATAACTAGGCCAATTATTAATAGTTGAGCGACCGTGCTAAAACCACGGAACTCGGGAGTGCCTCACACCTTCTCTCGGGTTAACAGAATTCCTTATCCGGTCTTCTGTGTTCGCAGACCATAAATAAGAGTCAATTTTCCTCGATTTGGGATTCTAAAATAAATCGGTGACTTGGGACACCATAAATTATTTCAAGTGGCGACTCTGAATAAATAAAGAATCCCATTTCGAATAATGTCACTTAAATTGGAAAAACTCCCTATCCCCTATCCCTTCGGGAAAAAGGAGGTGTGATATTGTTCTCAATAATATTATCTGAATTTTAATGAATAAAATTTCTATTAAATTAATGAGACTTATATAGGCAAATAACTTTTTAATTCTGTATTTTTCTTCATTATATTATTCAATATTTATAAGCATATTACTTTATTTAAATTTTTGTATGCTACTTTCATTTTATAATATAATAGAAGGTACATATTGTTTAATTTTGTATTTTATTCTATTATTATCAATAATAATTCTAATTAAATATACTTTTTATTTTTAAAAAGAAAAACAAAAAAAATTAAAAACAAAGAAATTTTAAATTGTTAGTTTTTTATTTTTTGTAAATTTATTTATTTTAAAATAATTTAAAAACTTCAACTTGAAACTACTCTCCTATTTGAATGAATTTTTTTTTATTTTCGTTTTTATTATAAAATATTTTATTTTATTATTTTATAAATATTTAAATTTAAAAATAATAACAAATAACTAATTATTAACTATTTATGTCATGCGATTTTTTTCTAGACTGTCACTTGGTTTAAGGAGATGATTTTTTTCTCTCCTTTTAATAATATATAGATATAAATTTATTTTATTATTTTATAAATATTTAAATTTAAATATAATAATCAATAACTAATTATTAACTAAATAATTAATTATTAACTATTTATGTAATGTGACTTTTTTAGACCGCCACTTGACTTCTCCTCTTCTTTTAATAATAATAATATATAAATATAGATTTGGTGTATTTATATAATAATAGGAATCAATCGAATACACTTCTAAACTGCCAGAATACCACACCTTATATATATATATATCGTAAACCACGCCAATTTTTTTCCAACAATTTTCACCTTTTAACCATGACGAAACTCTCCGTCGCCGTACTTTTCCTCTTATTTACGCTTTCCTTTGCTCGTATTCCTGTAAATCAACCGGAAAATGACGTCACGCACCTCCAACTCCCTTCAGAAAATGACGTCATCCGCCCCGAACATCCTTATACTCTACCGGAATTCGACGATTCGGCGCCTATTCTTAGCCTTCCTAAAAGCGCCGATAACGAAGAGACTCACTCCGTCCATCCGATGCCATTGACCTTAGTCAAGTTCCGGCCGATCAACCGTCGATTCCGGCTCCGATCTAACCTACCGTTCCGCCTATGTCGCCACCATTTCCACCACCTGTATCCGGTATCACGGCGTCAGATCCCTTATGGCAATGACATGATACTCTCTTCCGGCAAAAACATTGACTTTGATAAGTTTGTATACCGTGTCGGCGTGCGTGAAATTCCGGCGGATCGGGTCAATTTCCCCCACTACCATCACGATGACGAAGACGATGACCACAAAGAGGAGAAGATCTCGAAGTTTCTCGACAATCGCGAGAAGCTTGGTAAGATCTCGAAGTTTCTAGACGATGATCGCGTGAAGTTTGGTAAAAAGAAATTGAAACGTCAAAATCAATTCCAGGCTCATCGATTTGATAAAGAAGATGATAATGAGGATGACAAAAGATCAAAGCTTTATGCGAAGTATTATGGTGAAGACCAATATAGCTTTGATAGAATGAAATTGAGGAAGCGTTTTCATTATCGCGATGCTGAAGAAGAAGAAGAAAAGGCTAAGTGGCATAAGAGGGGAAAGAAGAGAGGTGGGTTCATGAGAAGTATTCGCAAGTTTTTTCATCACTACTTTGATTGAAGCAACAGTAACAATCAAGTGTAATCCCAGGAGTTGTGTCAGAGAAAGGACGTGTATGTATACCTTACCTCTGCTTTATCTACGGAACTAGAAAAACTGTTTTTGATAGATACAATTCAGAAAAAATAACTACTTTTATTGAAGCATATTTATAATTTAACTTTGCTTTTGTGTTGTATAATAGTAGAATGTTTTTATGAGTTATATTATGTTTTTCTTTTGTTTTATGTTTTGTTTTGGATGATGTTGCTCCTTTGTTGTTTGTAAATAACTTTGCATCCATGTGGAGATGTAGTAGGAAGTGTTCTTATTATTACTATTGTATGAATACGTTTTTGAATATGTTGTCATGTGATTGTAGTACATACTACATAATTGAGGTCTTGGCTTATACAGAACAATTTTGTTTAGCATATTAGAATAAGGTTCCTAATTATTTTGTGACAAAGGTAATAATAAGCTTGAGTTGACATTCAAATAAAATAACTGTTCTTGTCTCTTTACTAGTTATCCTCTGCCACAGAATATGGTATTAGTTGAATAATTGTTGTGATGCTCCGTAGGAAAGTAATGACATTGTTGATGCATTGAATCCCATGTCCTGTTTGGCTCTTTGGGAAGGAAAGGGAGTGATTGGTATGAAGTAGAGCAGAAAGAGGGGATTCAGCTTCTGTCCTGGGGTTTTGGTTAAGTGGTAGGAGCGCATCTTGTGAAAGATCAGTTACGGAAGTCCTGCGCTTCTCAGGGCCCTCTGCGTTAGAGTGACCCCGCCGGGGCGGTCCAATCACCCGGAGTTCAAGTTCGATCCATTAGGTTCTTTTTTTTTCCAGAAAAGAAACAAGATTAGGTACACGTCAGTGTTAACCATATTACCAAAGCGAACCATATCATGTACAAAAGCTTGATATGTAAGTTGAGAGGGTAGAGGGGTGGGCGGCTCATTATCCACCGAGGCTTATTATCCACCGAATTTGGCACTTTGTACAATTGGCCCTCGAAAATTTCTCAATTATCAAAACGAGGGGATTTAGGTTCTCTTTAAAAGGATTAGATTTAGCAAATAGCCCATGAGTTGTCCAGTTTATGTTTAGGATAAAGTCCATTACAAGGTCCAACAGACCGGCCCAGAAAAGGTTAGATATTTAACTGTCCAATCCATTTAACTCCTCTTTCTAGCAGACTTGAAAGATGTCTTTGAGAGCAAACTGCATTTGTGTCAAAATTTGTTCTTGAATGAGGAGAGACTTACGAGATACAGAAAATGATGCCTTATGAGTATATATACAAGTTTACCTTCAATTACTTACTCTAATCTTTTTTTTCATTTCACCAAGTTTTTAGTGAAGTAAAGGTGGATTTGCACTGAATTGTTAATTGCTCAAAGTAAAAATTGTAGTCTTAAACTTTTTTGTANGAGGAAGGGAAGAGCCTCTGTTATTTTGCTCGAAAAACAGAGCACAAAAGCAGACTCTCTGTTTTTGTTGTTCTCGACAAAAAACAGAGCAAAACAAATAGAAAGAAGAAGAAAGAAAGAAGAAAGAAGAAAGAAGAAGAAGAAGAAAGAAAGGAAACTCAGAGAAGCATACCTGGTTTTTCAGATGGCAGAAACTTGATGAAGAAGACTATGGCACAATAATCGCGAGCCTTAATCGCGACCTTTTTTCAGAAACTTGGCTGCTCTGTTGTTCGAAGTTGAAGAAGAAAGAAACTTCTAGAGTCAAGCCCTAATCACGACCTTTTTTCTTAAGTCTTTGCCCTTTTTCTTTTTTCATTTTAAAAAAGCGACGCTTCAGTCGCCTCTCGCCACACTGTCGCCTCTCGCTACACAAGCAGAGGCGGTCGCTTTATGTAAATCGCAACGCAACAGATGAAAGAAGCGACACAGTCTCGCATCGCTACGCTACTCGCTATTAGCGACGTAGCGCTCGCTATTTACAACACTGTTGTACACATTACTTTTTATTTTATAGCTCAATCAAACAAATTTTAGAATATGTATATTAACTATTTATTACTTCTAGATACAAGTTTATGATAACTTATACTCGCTACACGTGCAACGAACGTACCTAGTGGCTAGTGTGTGCACGCATATATATCGTGGATCATTCTCTACCAAAATTAGTTAATTATCTGTTTATTATATTTAGATACGAGTAAGTGATAACTTACACGGGCTATACGTGTAACACACGTACCTAGTGGCCAGTGTGTACGTGTACATATAGTGTGGATTGTACTCTACCAAAATAAGCTAATTAACTATTTATTACAGTTGGTTACAAGTTTGTGATCACTTACACGGATTACATGTGCAACACACTTACCTAGTGATAAGTGTGTGTGCGCATATATATGGGAATCGTCCTCTACCAAAATGAGTTAATTAACTATTTATTACATTTAGATACAAGTTACTGATAACTTACATGGGTTACACGTGGAACGCACGTACCTATTGATCAGCGTGTACGAAAATGAGCTAATTAACTATGTATTATAGTTGGATACAAGTTTGTGATAACTTACACGGTTTATATATGTGCAACACATATACCTAGTGACTAGTGTGTGAGCGCACATATATCGTGGATCTACCTCTACCAAAAAACAGCAAGATAAACTAATAACTTTTGTGTATTTTAGGGAGGAGATTAATCTAGACAAATAATTGAAGTGACATTATCAAATAGTGCCAAGTCTAAGAAATGAGGATGCCCCAAAAGTTCTTTAAGCTGCTGCTATATTATAAGTCAGGTAACCTCTACTGTGGCATCACCATCACCTACTTTGCACTTAGTGGATCACATTGATTCACAACAAGACTTGGGACAATTTCTTCTTCTTCTTTTTTTCTTTGGATTTCTTAGACAACTAGTCAAAGATAAACAATGACACCAATCGAGATGGCTTTTTAGGTGCTGGCCTCTTCCCTGAGGCAATTCCTGGGATTCAAAAGAGAGAGACTGAACTTTTTGTATCCTATGCCGTCATCACTAACCACGTTAACAAAAGAAAAGGAAGAACAAAATATATTTATAATTGCGGCTTAACGGTCAATAAAATGGATAAAAAGTATGAAAATGAAAGCTCAATCCCACATCCGAAAGATGTGGCATTGTTCTTCTTCACACTTTCAAGAAAATCTTCCTCCTTCCGCAAAATAATTTTTTCCTAATATCACATGTAATAAGTGAAATTAGGAATCTGAACAAAAGACAAATATCCTTTTATAGATTAAATTGTGTTATAAGTTATTGATTGAGAATGGTCTTTTATTTATAGAACCCTTATGTACTTCAAATTCCCACAAAAAATTATCTCCTTAATTATGAGTTGCATAACCACTAGTAACATCGCTATCCTTGTAAATGGTACTAACACCAATTACTTCAAGCCTACTAGAGGTATCCGTCAAGGTGACCCAATATCTCTTTACATATTCATTCTTTGTAAGGAAATGTTGTCGAGGCATATAAACCATCAAGTAGACTGTTGATCACGCCCAACTCTAGTCCTAAAAAGGATAAACAGTCGCTGCAAATATAATCCGGTCTAAAAGTCCGGAGTCGAATCTCACAGAAAACTAAGGCTTAGCTGCAATTGTTCAGTATTACTAAGAAATACAAGTTCAAATAATTTCATAGTTATAAAGATTGTACTTTTTATTTTAAACTAAGTAATTTGACATATACAAAAAGTAGTAAAATTATCAACTAACAAGACTAAGGAGGTCTAGAGTTATGATTTCCCCAATTGTCAGAATTCTCCCCGCTATGTTTTCTATAATTTCGCCTAAGTATTCTCTATCGATCGTGAGTACTTCAGGTGTCGTAATTCTCTTCCGAGCAACTACAAGAATTTACTAGACATATTCTTCCTAACTACGCTAGCTGGCACTAATTCACTGCTCATTAAGATCGCACCAAGGTTTCGTTATTCCTAATCCCACCTTTAAATCCTCCGTATTGATTCCTCACATACGTTAGGAGTGATAGTGTTCAACAACTACCTAAATATGTACCATTTTCCAAGCAATACACACTAAATAGGCACAACCAATTGATGCACATTCAATCAACAACAATAAATACGTAGTTGAATAAGTAGAGAAATCCAACGGCTTAATTATATAAACACGTAATAAGAATTCATCCTACAAAAGGTTCCATCAAAACCCTAGATAACAAATTAGTTATTCATAATAGTATGCAAAACTACAATACTAGAATTGATAACCAATAATGAAAATAGGAAGAAGGAAGTGAAAAACTCGTAGAAGTGTTCTTGCCTCGCTCCTAGTGTGTTCTTGCCTCCTTCGGTCGATTTCTTTCTCCTTAAGTCGAAATTCACTCCTTAAAAACGTCCCATCCCCTTCATAAGTGAGTTTAAGGACTATTTATATGTGATAGGGTTTGCATAGGGCGAAATAATACAAGCCCACTTCAGAACAACCTTTTTAGGTTAGCTCATTCACTCTCTGGTGCGCACGCGAGAATGAACGAGAGAAGTGCTTCTCTTCGAGAGTGAACGAGAGAAGTGCTTCTCTTTTTCTTTTCCTTCTAGGTTTCTCGTGCACTTCCATGCCTTTTTTCCATAACCCGTTGTATTTCTCAAGCTTTTCCTCAGCTAGCTCGTTCACTCTCTCGTGTGCTCGCGAGAGTGAACGAGCAAAATTCTTCTTTTGTCCTTTGATGCCGAATCAACTTTTTTTGCTCACTTTTCGTCCAACTTGCTCCTACACATAAGAATGCACGTAATGAGTATAATTCACTACAAAATGTCATGTAACCTACTGTTACCATACAAGTTATGAGATGAAAGTACATCGAAAAATATGTATTTTTGGCCGTTTATCAACACCCCACACTTAAACCCTTGCTCGTCCTGGAGCAACTTTCAAAATTAAGCACAATGGCAAGAAACACATTTTCTAAATATACTCAAGCATCATACCAATGACAATGGCTTATACCAACACTTAGAACTTAACATAAGAACTATTGACATCTTTCATCAAAAGTAGACTCATGCCAAGGCTATGTAAAATATTTGTGCGACTTATTCTAACATCCTAACCTCCTCAAGCTTTTCCTCAGCTAGCTCGTTCACTCTCTCGTGTGCTCGCGAGAGTGAACGAGCAAAATTCTTCTTTTGTCCTTTGATGTCGAATAAACTTCTTTTGCTCACTTTTCGTCCAACTTGCTCCTATACATAAGAATGCACGTAATGAGTATAATTCACTACAAAATATCATGTAACCTACCGTTACCATACAAGTTATGAGATGAAAGTACACCGAAAAATATATATTTTTGGCCGTTTATCAACACCCCACACTT